CTTAATGGAAAATAGAATAACAATTTTTCTCCGCGCTCGGAAATTGAATCATATTTAACATTGTCAAACGCAAAGGAACATACAAGAGAGATTCGACGGAAAGATCTAAACTTCTGAAGCATCAGAAATACTTCTAAATGTGTCACATATTCATTTTTTTTTACAGCAAGAGGCTTCCTGGAACTGTCGTCCAATGTTTTATCTATTCCTCAGCTGAGTCTATACGATCAATTTAAGGATTGAGTGTCGACACCGTTGGCTGGAGAATTATAGTAACATTCAAAGTAGTCGTAGGTCGGGTCAATGCCGTCGGGCTTGACGAGTGTCTCCAAGTATATAAACTCGACCTGGCATCAGGTCAGTCATCAGATTGCTTCTTGAGCTTCAAGTGAAACTTGCTTTGCTTAATAAATTCCTCTTCGATTCGACTTGAGGATTTTTGTTTTCAAAATGTTTTCCAAGATTATGGTGAGTAAATCTTGCATTCCAAAACTGATTTAGATTTGAAATACATTTTTATACATGAACCTAATTCGCAAATGACAGCTAGCTTCATTTGGAATAATTCACAAAACTTTTTTCCATTAAATATATACACAGATTGCATTCCTCATTGCCTGCTCAGTCGCAGTAGCTTTCGGCGACTCAGGTTCGCAAGAAAGTGGACACCGTCAAAGGAGCTCACATGGTCGCCGTTACCACAGCAGCGGCTACAAATCTGACAGCTACGAGGTAAACTGTTCATCAAATTCATATTTCATCAAAAGAAGATATCACATAATTGAATATAGTTTAAATTCGAAACTAGTATCGCTTTTAACCGTGTAACTCCAGTGGATACGACGACAGTTTTATCTTACAGCGGAGTACATGAATGAAAACGCTCAGGATTTTTGAAAACCCGCACATTCTACTGAAATCAAGTCTTACAGGAAATGAATTCTTCAAATATATCCAGAGATATTTACTCGATTGAATGTTGATATTAATTGAAAGGAAAATACGGGATCACTTCCTCTTGAAGTCTCGAATCAACCGATTCGTGTAACTCGTGGATACGTTTTCAGAATATTTTCTGAAAAATAAGATCCCCTTGGCAAATACTTGTTTCTATAGTGAATGTAAAGAAATAATATTCTCTTCATTTCTTATAGGTTATCCCCCTTCGAAATGTTTAAAAATCAGCGTTGTAAAATTCTAAAGTGCAGTACAGCAAGCTGTGTTTGCGGACATTCAAGAAAGTGTCATTAGAATAACACTCAGTAGTTCCTGACTTATAACCAGCAGTCGAGGAATCGTTCTCATTAAAGCAAAGAATCATTTGGAAGAAAACGTGTGGTTACGTTCATTTCATTTCATTGAATTTCATCAACGCACTTGTACGGTATATATAATGATAAAAATTTTTGGGAGAACTGGGATTCGTTATGTTAGTTGAAATGAATGATCAGAGAGGCATACTGTTTTCTGGTCGTCATCTCGCTGCTAGAGAGAGAAAAAAAGCAAATCACCACTGTTTAACATTAGAAAGACGACAACTGTCCTACGGTTGATGTTGAAACGCATGGCTCAGGCACGTCTCCCACCGGTGTTCCCAATGCCTAGACCCAGGCCATCCGCAGAAGGCGACAGCGCTGAATTTGGCCACGCTGAACAACGAAATGGCGACCAAACCAATGGCAAATACTTTGTCGAATTGCCCGACGCAGCAGAGGTCTGACAGCTTATGATGCACTCACCACTGAGACCAATGCAGCGGTTCCAGAGGATGCTGCCCAGGCCGCTCAGTCGACTTGGGGCAGCGATGTTGATTTGCTGACGACTTTAAGTGCTCTCGTGTCTACTCAAACAATCAAGAAGAAGCGAATCCCGCAACGAAACGAGACTCTGCTCTGAAACAAAAGAATGACAGCTTTGTGAAATTTCGTGAGCACTGAGGAAGTTTCTCAGACGTGTTCAAGCGATATTGTGTCCATGCTGCACATTCCTCAGGCAATTGTCTGTTGAGTGGTGCATCTTTCTTTGCTGTGACTACGAAAATGCAACCTTTTACCTGTGTGAACCTTACCGGATGTGTTTATAATTTCAAAATGACATGAATGACGACTGCATTCGCGAATGCGTCTTTGGGTTCCAGCAGGTATACCTCAGCAGCAGATATCGTTTATAGGGGCAACATAAGGAATTGACCGAAAACCTCCTCTTTTGTAGATGTTATCTATTTTGAGTGAGACCTCACTCTTATAACATACAGTTTTTAATCTGTGAAAGCACTTACAACTTATCGATGAAAATTCCATCAAGAGCAGAAATCCTGACAGAGAATAATAGTCTTATTCTGAGATATACGTCAGTAAAGTAATATATATGCAACAATAGTGAAAACAGATCCCACCAAATATTCACATTTCCTTTATGATAGCATTTTCTCTTCAATTCACAGAGAAGTCTGATGCAGTTTGTTTGTAAAAGTTGAACAACAGAAGATATGTTTCAGTCTTTGCTGGCATTTTATTTCAAAAGCGCAAAAATCGCGTGCATCATATTGCGACCGATTTATGCAAAGCAATAAAATATTAAATCTACTACGACGCTGAAAAAGTAAGAAATTTTGGTGCGTCCATTCCATATAATTTTAGCAATGCATGATTTATCATTGCTGGGTTCAGGACTAATGGGATTTCCACAGGTCATTTCAGCATGAAAAAAAAGAGGACAAAACAGGTTATAGTCAGCAGTATAGTTAATGAATGCCGGTTCTTTATACACTGACGAGAGAGGCAGTAATTATTATTTGGTGAGGACACTTTCAAATCGAAGGCAACTCACGAGTCACGACTGCATGAGCAAAACCAGAAAATGATTGAAACAATATAAAGGACACACATGTGCTTCAACCCAATTATACTGCTTATAGTTAGAAATCGAGATCTTGTTTGGACATCACACACCTTTTTTGTATCCATTGAAAACTGTCCACGCAAAAGTAATTAAGCTATTTTCCTGGTTCTCCCGAGTCCGGATACGGCTGGAAATCGTAGAACTTGCTGTTGGAATACCTTTTGTGTTATAGGGGAGGACCTCAATAATTCCTGATATACAACCGTACATTTCTGCCAAGCTTGTCAAGTCTTCACTCAGCATTTTCACAATGCAATTCTTAGATGAGAGTTAGAGCTAGCTACAAGGTTTATGTTCAGATCATAATTTGGAACCAATGTTGGATTTATGTAAAATAATTATGTATGCGGGCGTTTCCAAAAAAATTATCTGATTTTCGACTTGAAATAGCTTGATGGCAAACCGTACTGCAGCAATGAAAAAACACCAATTTGCACTTAATTGGGGTTTCCCTGCTTGGAACACTATACAGAGATGTGATCAGGTGGACTTTTGAGCATTACGCAATGGAGGTAATAAATAAAAAGTGCTATATTGAGTCATTTGAGGGCTGAATTCAATAATTTCTGAATGGTTCAGAAAGAACTTTACAGCATTCTTGAAAAGGTGATGAATTCAAGCCTAAAAATGTTTAGACCCATAGTTATCAACTGAAAATAAGTGATGCAAGTCATTTGCTAATTTATATTGTTCCAAAATAAATGGTCCTCTATACTGTCTATATATAGTATAATTGGGCTCTACTTTTGTCAACATTAATTTCTAAGAAAAACTTTAACTCGAAGAGTGTGTGTGTAATAGAAATTGGTGAATGACTACCAGGCCACAATTCTCTTGGATTAATGTGCAATGGAAGCAATTTAATTTTTTGAAAAAATAAGACACAACAATTGGCTGGTGCATGTCCAGCCAGGACTTTTCATCCCAAAAATGTGCAGAGTCATGTTTCACATTTGATTCATGTCACAAGCACTGGAATATAAATCCAGAAGGATGAAAAAATTGTCATTTCATGCAATAAAACCACCATAGACGTAAATCTCCTCATCAAAGATTTTTGGCCAGCATTTTGACATCAACTCTGTAAACAACCAAGACTCCCAAAAGAGGTCAGAGGAGAACCTATTGATCTCCTGTCTGAAGCTTGACTGACTCTCAGTGAGTGTCTCCTCTTGTTTTTTGTCTGTGTTCCTATACTTCCTAATGCCCCCCTTTCTCCCCTCATACATTTTGGGCTCAGTGTGATGTAAAGTTAATCACAAAGATTTAGAAGTTTAAAACAGATCAATAAATTGAATAAAGAAATAAATCAAAAACACAATCCGCCCCGGAACAGGGCAGGGGATTCTTGGCAGAATCCCAAAGAGAAAGAGTGATAAGTATATTTTCAGATAAGGACAAAAAACATAAGAGATGATGTCACTGGTCGAACAGATGTTGCCCGCTAACACGCCGCTTTTCTCGGGACAACTAGATGTTGCCCGAGTCAGGAGTACAAACAGGAGAAGAAAAAATCGACGCAGCGTACGAAACTCCACGTTGTCACAATATTCGAGAAAAGGAAAACCATCTTCTTCCAGAAGATGATTATATAAAAACAAATATGAAATATATATTTCTGAACAAATATAAAAACAAGATTCCAAGGAAACCCAGCCTTGGAGATATTGATCTCCAGGGCCTATTCAACTGATGAATCAGCCCTCGTGATCAAAAGAATGATGAGGAATTTTGTGTGCTGAAGTGTCAGATACACATCAGTGGAAAGCCTTGAATAAACTTTCCACTAATGAGGACCTGCAGCTCTACATAACCTCCTTCAGGAGCAGTCAGTTCATGTCCAACCTCAGATGAGAAAGGAGCTGCTTTTTATGTGTGAAGTTATCGCGAATCTAAAAACACTTGTCTTTTCAGAGTCTTGAAGAGACTAAACCCACTGCATGTTGCTGATTATATTTGAACATTGTTTGATTTGGAAGAACATATAAACCAACAATTGAGGTACTGACCTCAGGCCGCAAACAGTCGATTGTGCTCACTCTTTTATTTTCACTAAAAGGGTGTAATTTCAATCTTTGTTAGAGAGGCTTATTAGCCCCTGACAGATGAATACAGAAAGATTAGCAATAATTTCACAAATTCAACTGACACAAACAATGTGCACACAACAAGACAAATGAACAAACTGCACTAAAAGTTGGGCAAGAAAATGGACAAATGGATTAAATTGCGCAATCAGGAAATCTGGAAGGGATTTCCCGTTGCGGGGTTTTTTGCGCGAGGTTATTTTTAGTTTATTTATTAAATTTTATAGATTGAGTTTATAATACTCATTATCGTATTGTCCGTCGCATGGGAGGACTATCCCTTACACTCAGCACCAAAATTTTTCCCACAAGCTTTCCCAGTTTTCTGAGAAAAATCCAAAAAAGTTTTCCTCTCATCCTGACTGAAAAGTCAGAATGCTTGTGTTTTATTGAGGGGGGTTTTTCATGCGCTCCCTTTCCCAGTTTATGTGAGTTCTTTCAATGCTCCGAAGCTGCTGCAGCTGCTGGCCAATTTTTGTTTTTCAAACCCAGGATCAGCCTTTTTTCTCATCCAATGTTCCCATGATTTACCAGGGAAGCATGCGCACTTCCTTGGTCCCATCTGCAGCCTCCCCAGCCACATGTGCAAACGTTTGCTCCCTGGGAGGAGAGCCCCAAGTGGCAAACAATTCCAAGGGGCAACCAAAAGTTTGTGGGAGCAATTTTCCCCCTATAGAGTGTTTCAAATGCCTTTGCGTCAATAAAATATTGATAAATGAACTGCGTCATGACACTGTAGCAAGCTGACAGTGAACTTATACTCAACACTTTCTATATGGAGGTGGTACCTTGCAATTTGACCTCCTGCAATTTGATCGTTCTGCAATTCAATGGTCAAATTTTCTGGGATAAGGCTGTCTTTCAATTCAACTCTTGCCCCACAATTCAACCTGCTTTAGCCACTTTTTTGCCTTTCAAAGCTTAGATTTTTAAATTCCATGGAGTGTATTGCAAGTCAACTGATTTTCAATTTGACCCTAGTCCAGCAATGGATTAGGGTCAAAGAGCAAGGTACACCCTTTACACTCATTTGGCACACCAACTCTTGGAAAAAATGCTAAGGCAAATAAAAATTTTATATTCTGGAATACAGCACAACTTGGAACTGGAAGACTGTGAATTATGTATTGAATTCCTTCCACTTGCAAAAATGATGTCACTATGAAATCACTGATGGAAAATAGACAGTGAGTGCTTTTTTAAAACAATTGTAAGTTCAAAAAATGTTTTGTCCATTAAAATCCCAGTCATCATCAAAAAACATAAGACCTTATATTGATATATCCACATCATTCAGCAAACTAAAATAAAAACAGGGGCGGATTGCTTGAATACTTATAAATTTTTTACATTTTGAACAGCCTTTTCATGGATTTTTGTTAGCTCTATTTAGAGAGAAAAAAATAACGCACGGTATTCTGATAATAGAAACAATCTTTGAAAACATGGGCCCCATTGCCATATTGATTGTACAGCACTGTACTGTATCTCTTACTGAATAGGATGTACAGAAAATGTGATTTTTTCTGGAACATTCCTTCCTGCTAAGCCGTAATTCTCAACAATGCTCCATTTGCTCTAGTTCCTCGGCAATAAAGCAGCTCTAACGTAGTAAGATGAATCATTTTTATTTTTGTAAACGTCCTGGCGTAATGCTTGGGAAAAATGAGCAGGCGCCCTGGCGGAGTTATTTTCTGAAATTAAATGCTCAGTTTTCAAAATATCTATTAATAAATCTAACAAAGAACAAATTATTGTTTTGGAATGTTGTACAGTATTTGACTTGATTTTTTGCGTTTGGAAAACAATCATGTTCGTAAGCAAGGTTGAAATCTATCACTGAAGTACAGTGCCATATCAAATCAATTATTCCTTGATGGAAAATTGAATTTCGATTTCTCTCTATACTCGGAATTTGTCTCATTCCAAAAGCAGACCATTTGTGCTGAGATATTGCTCAAATACCGTCATTTGGAATACCCGAATATTTCAGTTAATGCATGTCACAATATCAAATTCAAAGCAACTTACTAGCTGCTACAGAGATTTCATGAAATGATATGAGCAGTATTAAAATAACTCTTTAGGAATGCGTCAAATTCATTGTTGTTACCGCAGGCTTCCTGGAACTGCCGTCAAATGCGTTATCTATTCGTCAGCTGAGTTTATACGATCAATTTAAGGATTGAGTGTCGAAAGTCGAAACCGTTGGCTGGAGTAATATAGCAGTGGGGCATTCGAAGTACAGTAGTCGTTAGTCGGGTCAATGTCGTCGGGCTTGATGAGTGTCTCCAAGTATATAAACTCGGCCTGGCATCGGGTCAGTCGTCAGATTACTTCTTGAGCTTCAAGTGAAACTTGCTTTACTTCATCAATTCTGCTTTGATTCAACTTGAGGATTTTGTTTCCAAAATGGTGTCCAAGATCATGGTGAGTTAATCAGCATTCCAAAAACTGATTTCAAATTTAAATACCTTTCTATAACTAAACCCAATTATTTGATAATGAACATTTTTTAATTTATGTCACTCAAAAACAGACTTTACCTGAAATTGGATCTAAATTAGTTGCATTGTCAAATAAATATTCAGTTATGGTTTTTATGATTTTTTCAGAACGGAGTTTTTGATGAAGTCGTGCAATAAAACTAAAATCCCATTCCGACCTAACATTGTTTTCAGCTATTTCGTTCATTAAGATTTTCGAACAATGAGAACTTTTTCAATATCTAATGTATCTATTCGAAGGGTATAATAGAAGTAACCTCTATGTCGGGTTATTCTCCGCATTTTGCCATAATGTATGTCTCGAAGAACAAGCTTTAAAGTTCAAACGGGATTTTACAAAATGGAATGAATGGACACTTTCATGTAATTCTTTCTTCAGTCTATGGTTGCTCGCAAAAAATTTTTAGTATGAAACAACTATTATATACTGTATAAGCATACCCCGCGCACCGTAATTTGTCCATATGTTTTCGGTGTAGTGACAGCTCCAAATAAAATAGTTCACTAAGTTTCTTTTAATTGAATATTTGCACAGATTGCATTCCTCGTTGCCTGCTCAGTCGCAGTAGCTTTCGGCGACTCAGGTTCGAAAGAAAGTGGACACCGTCAAAGGAGCTCATACGGTCGCCGTTACCACAGCAGCGGCTACAAATCTGACAGCTACGAGGTAAGCTATTCGTCAAACTCAAATTGTATCAAAACAAAAAAAGGAAATTGAATGCATTTTAAATAGGAAGTTGATATATTTGTTCACTGTAACTGCAAAAGACACGTCGACAGTTTTATATTGTACCTCGAGTAAATAAATAAAAATATAACAACGCTCTATTTTCGAAAACCCCCGGTATTATGCTGCATAATCACGTCTTATATAAGAAGAAAATGAATCGCTCCAAGTGTTAACCTGTTTATGTGGATATTTATTTAAAAGTAAATGAACGGGATCTCAGATGAATTGGACGATGAGAGAAATAATATACTGTATATTCATGCAGAGTACCCGTATTCATCTGCGAAAATCGCTCATTCCCTTGCCTTGTTTATTATAATAGTTTATTTGTTTATAATGACATTTTTATTCCGAACATTCTGCCAAAGAATGAGGCAAGTTCATCGGGATGAGTGGAATTTTGAAATACAGTAAATACAGTATTTAGATTTCCGTCGGTCTCGGTTCACACCTAATGTGATTGTTTTCTGATCGTCATCTGGCCATTTTACCTTCTTTTTCTATCTTGGTTCCTTGCTGAGTGTTGATAAATAATAATATTCTGTTGTTGACAGGATGCCAACTACAACTTCGCATACCGAGCCCGTGCAGAGGGTGGCCACAAGGGTTACGGATCTGGATCCGGATCCGCAGAAGGCGACAGTGCTGAATTCGGCCACGCTGAACAACGAAATGGCGACAAGACCACTGGCAAATACTTCGTCGAATTGCCCGACGGTCGTCTCCAGACTGTCGAATACTACGTGAGTGGTGACTCCGGTTACGTCGCCAAGGTCTCCTACGACGGGTCCGGCGAGTCAGCTGAACCCCGTCGCTACAACTAAACGACTGCTGAAATTCACGATTCATGTCTATACTCAAACAATCAAGACGAAGGGAATCCTGCAACGAAACGAGACTCTTCTCTGCTCCGAAACAAATGAATAAAACTTCTTAAAATTTCGTGAGCTCTGAGGAAGTCTCTCAGACGTGTTCAAGCGATGTTGTGTCCATGCTGCACATTCCTCAACAGATAATAGTCTGTCAGATTGTGCATCTGTCTTTACTGTGGCTATGAAAATGCAACCTTTTACCTGTGTCAACCTTACGTGATGTTTGTTATTCATCATGCCAAAATTACAAATAATTCCTATTGTAAATTTTGTCTGGATTATAGCCTACTCAAGAATCGTATAGAAAGGATTGAAAATCCAAAAATAAACCTCACAACTCACGAAGTTCATTGATGAACTCGAGTAGCCTAAATGTCTTCGATTTTTTCGTATGTAGATGCTCATAAACGCAAGTTTCAAGCTTAAAAACGATCAATTCCATACTTTTTGAGTTTTCTCATCGTCCGAGATGAGCATGGTAGGAAAATCTTCAAGGTCTGTCGTCGTTTACCGACATGCGTATAGGAAGCGTTGTATCTCAATTATTAACATGTCTCCCACTCATTCAACTTCATTTGTAGATAAAAAATAAATAAAGCTAACATGATTTTTGCAATGCCGTGTCATCAGTCATCAGTTTCAGTACAACGTACTTCAGTATATCGTACTTTACTGTTTATATTCGCGGGGTAAAAATTAAATGCCTACTGGCAATGCTTACAAGTTCCAAAATTTTCTAAAATTTCAATTCATGCAGTATTTCATGAAACTGATCACCAAGATTACCCCTAGCTGATGGAATGGAAGATCAGTTTTTTGAGAATGTTGTGCCCCGAATGGATTTGGCAGAAAACCGGTTCATTTGTGAAAAAATCGAACTTTGATAAAGCTAGCATGAACTTCGTATATTGCCGACGCAACTATTTAATACTGCGAATTTCATCTAGTTTTACGCAAAAAAAGCACGTTTTTTAAGATTGAAAACTGATGGCAAAGGATATTCTACTTCTTGAGAGCAGAGTCGCAGTGAACTTGCCTTTTATCGATCATTCAAGCTGGAAGTTTCATGGTTTTCCCATGGTGAAATTACATCAAATAATGCAAGGCACAGTAATTCACACTGTATAACCTCGCTTTTGGTTATTTCTGAGCCCGAATGACTGAATCAGCATATTTTAGAATGCCATATACGAAACAGGACTGCCGGCTTTTGAATCAGAAGAAATGGAGTAACCTTTGAAAACAATAAAACAACAGCTCTGCGATAATTTTACTGAATGTTCTGAGAATAATACAGCATATCATTTTTCAAAGGAAGACAACAAGGACATCAGATACTCTTTTAAGGAAAAAAGAATCCCTCTGAAAAAATGCCACTTTAAATAAGTTTTAACGTGAAATGAAATCAGAGAAATGCCAATGTCACCTTCATTTCGGCCAAGTTTTCCACCAACAATACAATTCGTGCTTCTTCGAATGGTTTTCAGTTCGATTTTGATTCGATTTCTTCGAATCAATATCACGCCAAATAACTTATTTAGATAATTCGAGGAGAAAATATGACAGTTCAGTTCTCAATATCGGATGCCATATCGAATCGAGCAAAAACACTGAAATTTGCTTGCTCTGAAGGATTTCGAAGAAAAGAAATGCGAACAACGTATTAAATCAAGGGACGTTCGATCCCTAAATTTTCTTGCAAGATGTTGTTCAATACATCCATGGTTGCTGCTGTGTTGTTATTGAACCACAATTGAGTCCGCCGCATTGTTTCTGATGTGAACGGTTCGATCATACCTTCCAAAATTTGTGGGACAATTTTGCTCACGCTCTCCTGCTGTACTTTCAAAAAATGTTTCAAAAGTTCATTATTGTATATACAAGCCATTTAATGAAATTCGAGACAAAATAGAGAATAACTCTTTTAAACGAACCAGATTTTTCACTCTCATCTGGATCATCTTCAAGTGAGTCGTTGCTAATTCTGCAGCAAGGCTCGCGTTGAAAGAAGTCTCATCTCCATACACTGTCGTCTGGGAAATGAAGGCGAATGCCATCATCCAAATCGGGAAGCTTGACACCTGTGTAAAATTGTTTGAATGTTTTTTCGAAAACGTATTCTTTCACACAAATTCTGTTTTAAAAAAAGCTCTTCAAGTTGCTTTTAAAGGGAATTTAGTCTGGCAAATGCCATCATGAAGTTTGTCGCGAAAAACTGCTAACCCTCTGACGATTCTGACACGCAATCAATTCTTTCAAAATTTTGAAACTTGAAGGATTTAAAGGTATATTTCTTTTACTGCGCCACAAAGTGAAGTCATGCTGGCCTCAGACCATCTGATTGTTTCTCCAATATTTTCCATCACACTTTTTTTTACTTCTGAATTTTATGTGCTGGCTGCCGAAAATTCATCAGAGAGTCAAGGGTTGAAAATCGGATGAAATCCGAGTTATGTAAAATTTATAGTGTCGACCTCAAGTTAAAGTGACTTTACTGACGATACTAAGTCAGTAGTATTGGACAACTTTTTGAGTGTGTTAAAAACTACATGTAAAAGCAACGTGAAGTTACTTGCTGTGAAGAATTTAATAGGCTTGATTCAGATGGACGAATTGTCTACAATTTTTTGGAACTGAGCAAACTGTCGAAAAAAAGCACAGATTGAATAGTTTTCAAATCCGATTAAAATTCAGACGACGAAAAAACGTGACTTTCACTTGGAAAATTCTTTATGCAGTCACCTGTTTTGAATGGAAGATCAGATCCTGGTCCGAACATGCTGTGAATTAAATTAAAATAGAATGTAAGCTGAAACCTATGGGTTCTTGGAATATTTTTCTTTAAAGTTGATTTTTCGTGCGGAAAGGTTCGTCAACCATTTCATTCTTTTCATATTGCAAATATTTAGTTCATGCAGTAAGAAAAAGGAATAATATATGAATTTGAAGTATGCATGAACTATATACAGTATTTTTTAGCTGTTTATGTCGTTGATTTTTCTCGAACAGGCAATGTATTCTTTCACATTGCCAGTTCTCGGTTTCATGCACCATCAATGATCACATCGAATTCGCAATTAGAATCGTGTTTCTACCGTTCATTGTTTTTTTTTCAACTGTAGTGCTAATCATATTCATTATATAGCTGATACAATCCNCCATCAATGATCACATCGAATTCGCAATTAGAATCGTGTTTCTACCGTTCATTGTTTTTTTTTCAACTGTAGTGCTAATCATATTCATTATATAGCTGATACAATCCTTGGGAGCAACAACATTCAAATCATTAATCCTTGGATTAATTGCGTCCCTCTTATTCCGACGAAGAATCCGATCAGATTTTCAATTCATGCCGGAAAGTCCCTTTCGACGGGATGTTGAACATTGGAAATGCAAGGAAAATTCCATTTATTTGCTATCAATTTTCGGCTATAATTATTTGAAATTAAGTTTTCCCAGAAATCTGTCATTTTTCCTCAAATTAATAACGCTCTTGGCGTGATCGCTGATTTTTAAATGCTCGAGCAGCGTTTTTTCTCAAATCAAACATCAGTCAGAACTTGTAATATAGATCTGGTACATTTTTACGTGAAAAATTTCCCAAATTATATATATTAGGATGATTATCTTCAGGATTTTTCTTTCAAAAATAAATTCCAATACTGTATATGCGGAAAAATTCCCTTGCTCACGCATAATTATGGATATATGCCTGAGGCTGCGTTCATTTTAAAAAATTTTTAGCTTTGATTTGATACAGTTGTTTGTGAAAACGCCCGAAAATCCCTTCATTATACAAGCTTTTCATCCATGACCTTTGATTTGCGTGTTTTTGTATTTCAATAACATGTATTTGTCACCGGTCTTGCTTCGAAGAAATTAGAACAAAACCTGGATTTTCTCAAATTAGTATTTCAAATTGCCAAATCGATGTGCACTGCTATTCCAGTCATCGCAGAAGCTAGAAAGATGCCTTTCAGCGAACACGTTTTTTACAAGTTGCTCAAGTCCCTTTGGGAATTTTCCATTGAACATCGTAGTTTCCGCGATTTCCATCGAACTGGTGCTAAATAATTATGAAATCGCAGTGAGAAATTGTGCTGATCGACAAAATAGTCGTGAATTCCAGCGCGGGATTGGTGGGAATCAGAATTAGGATTTACTGATCACAAAATAATAACTAAATAAATTACTCCCTGTTCTTTTTATTCAAATAAAAGAAAACGCTTTCAGACGCTCGAAAAGTTGATTCATCATAGGATTTAATTGGTTTATATAATCAGCGACGAACAGAGAAAATCAGCTCGATTTGGAATTTTTGATCGATTCCAACGACTGAAATAAAAAATACTGTGCGACTTTAAATAAGACACATCGAGTGGAAATACTGTAAGCAAACATTTTCTTTTTCGTTCACCTCTCACTTCTGGGAAAGCCAAATTATTTCAGAAATATATGCGCAGTTTTTGCGATTTGAAATTTCATTGCTTCATGAAACGACGCGGTTTGTGAGAGCGATGAATTTTATTTTTATTTTTTTGATGGCGGGGCTTCCATAAAGATGTATTGCGAAAAATGGCTAAGTTCACACGTTCAAATGCAAGAAACAATTATCTACTGAAAGCGGTGCCCTCAGTTTCCAAAGGTATACCTTACCGTATACTGAAGGAAATACTGTACAATATTATCTATTTCTCGTTGATCATGAACATTAGGGTATGAATCCACTTGATTTTGTAGATCCTGGCTGATTTAAAATGAAATATAACTGTCCTGTGAACGATGGCTTTGCATCGCCTCTCATTTTTTTCAGAGAAAAAAAGGATTGACGAACTTTGCGATGAGAAGTATGTATTTATTCAAACCGTGATTCTTGAGAAAAAAAATTCTCTTGAACTTTTTACATGTTGATGCGAAACAGGAATGTCCTTGATTTTGCTCAAATCCGATTCCAGAGTCAAAAATCTCCATGTGTGTTATTGTCCATGTATGAGGAAAGTTTGTTTGCAAGCAATCGGGTGGATGAGTATTTTTGACTCCTTTAACAAATAAAATAATGTACCCTCGATCATTCTCAGCATTCCAATGCGCAGCAGCCGGGTCTTCCATAAGCACCTGTTGGTTTTTTTTTCATTTTTACATCGTCGAGAATTTAAAAAATGAATTCATTCTAACTTGAGCCTTCTGTGGAGCATGGTTTGGGTGCCTTCCTGCACCCAATCGAACGACAGGACGATCCCTTTTGAACGGAAGTAAACTTGGAACCCCGTCGCCTACCTCATCTGAGAGTTCTCGGCCGACATCATCCACATTGTCAAATTGTGCGTTATTGAGCCAAGGTTGTCCCGAATCTCCGAAAACCTTAAATACGCGACACATTCTCCTTTAAAATTAAGTTCATGTACCCCCGGATATAATGCAGACCCTACGTTTTTATTGCGACATATTTTAAAGCATACGGATTCTTAAAAGCACGGCGTTCAAGAAATGTTACTGTAAATACAGTACAATGAGACCTCGAGATACGGACATAATGTATACTTGGACCTTGTCCATGTTGGAACGGTTGCATATGTTGGATCACGTTTTCAAATGAACTTCAATAATGGGCAATTATTTAACCGCTGGTTCTCCAGTTCATCAAAATCATAGGAAAAAATTCCCCCCAAAAATTGAATAATTTTGTTTTTCACCTTGAAGATGCACAATGTAACTATGTAGAAGAAACCATACTGATCTTTTGGCATCAGAAGGACCCCAAAAAGCAAAGAAAAAGCACAAGTCTTGCTATAATGTGCACAAATGATGAAGAATATTCCAAAAAAGGAAAGAAAAAAGTAACCTGTTTTTGTCTACAAATTTGATTAAATTTATACCGACATGCACTTTAAATATTTGTAAATATAAAAACGCAATTTTTTAAAGATTTTTAAAATTTTGAAGGAATAAAATTACACGGAATAATTTAAGTTGGTGGAAAGGGGAAATTATTCTAACTATAAACAGTTTTGTGTTTGTGCTACGCACCATATCCATGATGGAAGGCATATGTGAGAGCGCAGACCTCATCTGACAAAGTCTCTCCTTATTTGACTAAATATTTTTTTTAGAATTAAAAAATTATACAGAAAATTGAAACGTACAGGTATGAGTATAATTCTTCGAGGAGCAGCATATCACTTGACTCCAGCAAGAGGGCAATGGTAGCATAGGACACGATCATGGCAACCACGGTCTACGAAAAAAAATTACTATCGAGCTAAGAATTCTTAAAATTTTAAGCGATACTCTTTGTTCAGCTCACAAAAAGTGTCGACTTCATGGTGACACTTTTTTGTTCGGATTTTAATCAATCTCGTGATTTCTGCTGCTGCTGCAGCTGGAAAACTCGAAATTCGAATGTGCGCGTCATTCCCTTTTCAAAGTCCGGATATTTTGCTCTTTTTTTTTCTAAATGCATGCAGAAGAACACGTTTCGTGTCTATCGCACTAGCACGAAAAGTTTGTTTGGTGTTCGTGATGTTCTTGTATGAAACAGTTCGAAGAATAGCTGAACGTCATTTTTGAAAACGAATCTTGTTGTTATGGAGATCATGCTTCCACTGCATATAATCCAGATAGTCCCAGGTTTGATAAAGCGGCGATAATTTTTTGGATACATTTTTTTCTCAGAAAACGTGAACCTTTATCATGAAAGGAATTCCCACGGCTACTGATGGAACCTTTTCCGGCCAAATTTTGGAAGCCGAAAACTTTCAGATTTCGCTACAATTCTGAAATATGTTTCTTTCTTGGAATGATTGCTATGATGTGCTCCTCAAAAGATGGCACGTCTTCAAGTTACTCTTATTTGGCTGAAGTGTTTCACGTCTGTCCGTATATAGTTTTGAATCTTGCGTATAAATGTCGAATGATCATTGCTTTGTTCAGTTTTTCCAGCCTGTTAGTTTTAAATCCAAATTCAGCCTGAAAATTCAGCATTTAATTTTAATGCAACAGGTTTTGCATTTTTGTAGTTATAACATTTTTTAAAAATTCGAATAGCTCCGATTTTTTTTTTGCTCATATTTGGATCCAAAGCCGCCAGTGCTGTAGACTTGATGCAACAGAATATTGGTAAATTTTAAGTGAATCTCTGAATACAAAATGTTACACTAATCTTTTGTTTTTATAGGAATTACATTCCTCTATAATCAGCATCATACCATGTTCATATTCTCTGTATATATTTTTCGGCTTTATGAACCACAGCAAAAAAATCCACGCATTTAAAGAACCATTGAGTTATATTTTTGATGAATGTTCAAATTGTCAGGTTGATAACACCCCACTACTGACCTTGAAAAAAAAATAGTTTCCAAGTTCAGCATGACAGTTTCCTATATCAAAGAACCGATTATTACATGAAATCGAAAAAATATGTTCATTGTATCGGAACCTATCGTAAACTCATGAGAATACATTATAAAGCGTACATTTGAAACAGTTATGGGCACATGCGTCTGATCATACAATTTTAATAGTGTCAGTAAGAAAAGTCACGTATTCACATATTTTCAATTATCCGTCAGTGAACTCACATAAAAAATTCACGAATGGAATTCAGAACTGTTGCAAGATATGCACAGCATTAGTTTTAATTGGCAAGTCATGTCTAATAATGGTTCGATAAAAGGTTCATATCATGCTAGCGACAAGGCGTAAAAATGTATTGTATGGCTAAAAGTGTGAACAGCATCCCAAGAAATCTCTTCCCAAGAACTTGGATAAAATCTTTCCATCTCACTTCTCCGTAAATAACTTGTTTTTAAATCGATTTCGAAAAAAAATTCCTGACAAGGTCACGCCGATCAACTTGCCCAAAAGACGTGGTCCCACGTGGTCAGCTATGTTCATCTCGTCGTTAGTATCCATTATTAATTTACGAAGCGAGTGTCGAAACAGATGTCTCGAGTGTCGTAGTTATATAGGTGTCTAAAACAACCATTGGCCAGGTCAATGTCGTTTGACTGGTTGATTATTGCCGCCGACTATTTAAAGTCGACCTGGCATCGGGTCAGTCGTCAGATTCCTTTTCGTGCTTCAAGAATAGACTTGTTCTGTTTCGTTCATTCAGCTCCGAGAATCGGATTAAGCCTATATATTCATCAACATGGTTTCCAAGACAATGGTGAGCCACTCAATTCCCGGTTTAAACTGGATCAAAAAATTGTCAAACTGCTGTGCGCAGTGGAATAATGGAATAATTTTCTTTGAAACTCGTTTTTAAACTCAGACTGAATTCTACAGCGTATCCCGAAGAATGTTGATCAAAATTTGCTAAATATGCTTTGGATGGTTGATTTATGTGATTTTGAAGTGAACTATGATTAAACATGTAAGGTACACATTTTCCGCGGAAATTGACCAGCCCACTGTAGCTGTATCCTTTTTACGTTCTGCACATTAATACTAGCTGTATATGCTTACTTCGTAAATAATGCAATAAATATCGATTTATGTAAAAACCCAAATTTTTTCATTCAGACGTCATCGAGTCGTAGCTATTCCGCAAAAACAGGCTTTTTATTAGGGTTGATGAATTTATCCTAACAATATAAGATTATGAAGAAACCATTGTTTCTCGAAAAATCTCCAAAATGTTCATAGACTATTTTGGTATTAAATCCTCTGAATTTGCTGTCATAATGCAGTTGTATTTGTCTGCCTGCTGCATACGTATCTGAGGATATTCTCATAGTGTCTGTATTCTCATAAAAATTGCAGTTTTTCGAATTCATTCTTTCGTGCAGATTGTTCTCCTTGTTGCCTGCTCAGTCGCAGTAGCATTTGCCGACTCCGGTTCTCAAGAAGGCGGACATCACAGAAGCTCACACGGTCGTCGTTACCACAGCTACAAATCAGACAGCTACGAGGTATTTTTTTATCAAGGAAAATATACTGTGTACATGATCAGAACGACGAACAAATTCTGACCATCAAGGGACACATCTTAGCCACCCTTACATCTAATCCTAAGATCTGAAACATCCTGAAAATGGTTACTCCGCGCGTTCTTAGATGTCGCTGTGACCCACCACCTTGCTTTCGGGAATCCACTGTAATGGGCCTATTCCAGCCCTTGTCCTCTGTTTTCAATTACTGTATAGAGAAGAATTGGAGCACTTGAACCTTGATAACTCGAATTTCCCTATATTGAATACCTTCCCATGTAACTTTTTAAGCACTGTCAGATTTCTAATAGAAAAACTGCCTTAAATACCCTTTTGCTATAGTTCTGACTCAAAGAACCCACGCTTTACTCCTCAAAAAATCCATGACTTATTTTTTTTAAATTTACTGGAAGCATTTTGGCTGTTATTTTAGTGACACTGAATGAGAAGTTAATTTTTAATACTTTATTTGTTTATACTGGCGTTATTATTCAGAATATCCTGCCGGAGAATGAGGCAAGTGCATCGTGATGAGTGGAATTTTGAAATAAATATTTAGATTTCCATCGGTCTGGGTTCACACCACATATGATTGGTTTCTGATCGTCATCCGGCCATTTTACCTACTTATTCTTTCTTGGTTCCTTGGGTGGTGATAAATAATAATCTTTCTGCTGTTAACAGGATGCCAACTACAACTTCGCATACCGAGCCCGTGCTGAAGGTGGCAAGGGATACGGATCCGGATCCGCCGAAGGTGACAGTGCTGAATTCGGCCATGCTGAACAACGAAATGGCGACAAAACCACTGGCAAATACTTCGTCGAATTGCCCGACGGTCGTCTCCAGACTGTCGAATACTACGTGAGTGGTGACTCTGGTTACGTCGCCAAGGTCTCCTACGACGGGTCCGGCGAATCCGCAGAACCCATCAAGCGCTACAACTAAAAATGTGACCATATGAACATCGATAAACAACATCAGCTGGTCGTTGATCAATGAAGAAATGAAACCCGCGAGGAAAACGAGTCGATTCTCCAAAGATACCTTGGAAGTCTTCTGGACGTGTTCAAGTGATACAAAATGTGCTCATAATTTATGTTTCTCTGTCTCAACTTGTTCTGTATACTCTGCATCTTTCGAATCCGCGATGAGAAAAATGCAATATTTCTTGTGAGAAACGCACCATGAGCTAACAGTACTCATTTTTTGAATAACAGGAGACAACAAAGTTTAGCAACAGTTTTCTTCAATATATAGCGAGTGAAAGATGCTGGCATCGTCCTGTTTGTGTAAAAAAAAAATGGCAAAACACATCAACTGAAACGTTTGAAAAGTTTCTCTCTGCTGTTTCGAACCGCGTAAATTAAATACTGTAGAAATAAGCGCAGCTTTGAACCATGATTCATACCGACGAAAATTAAAATAATATACTTTAAAAAAGAATCTTCAATAAATGCACGAAATCAATTCAAAAGATCATTTTGATTTTTAGTTTTTTGATTCCCGATTATGCGTGGAATTACTTCAGTAACATATACTGTACTCTTTATTGCAGTCATTCTCTTAATCATTCTATAAAATTGCGCTGCTGTATTTTCGATTTTCTACAGAAACCCTTAAAATCTAAAACTTGTTCTACCTTGCAGTTTGCTTCTATCGAAAAAAAATAAGCAGATAAGAATGAACAATTGATGTATTTAGCTTTTTCTCCGATGCTTTAGGATTCTATCACTGTAATCTCAAGTGTTGCTCAGTAATAAAGACAAATCACAAATATGATAAAGAAATATGTATATTCGGACCACCATTTTCAATGTGCAAAAATCCGAATTTCAACGTAGAAAATAATTAAAAATAATTATCATTATATGAAACAGAAATGCGAGAGCCAAAACGAATTCTAAATGATTTACAGCTAGATAATAGAAGGCCTGCCCTAGCTGAACAATTATTCAACATTTTAGAATTGCTTCTATGTACCGTATTCCGTATTATTGTAAAAACTGCTATTATTCCGCATTACCTCAATATTTACGCGTGTAATTTGTTCTCGCACAAAGGTCTCGTAATCATCAACAGCTATGGATTATGCTTCGACATCGTTGATCAAACAATGTACTGTATAACTATTCACAGTGCTGATGAAAAAAAAACATTAGGTTCAAGATTCGAAAGGATACTCACGTCACATTTAAAATCCTTGCTGGAAATGATGAAAATAATTTATGAAAACCTCAACTATATTGCTGAAGGGTTCTTCACAAGTTCAAATTTCCAGATTATACTCGAATATAAGTTTGAAAATCGTTCTAATCTTTAGTACACCGTGTAGTCAACGAAAAATATAAAATTTGAATTGAACATGCATTTTTAATCGAAACATTGTCATGTTGCTATAACAGAGCGCACGCACTCAATTGGAAACGTGACTGTGTCACTCTCAATCATTTTGATTCAAAGTCTTGCAATATTGCGGATTTTTGCTCACGTTTTCGATTTATGCAGTGGGATTTCGGTTATAAATCCCATTCGCTTCGTTACAGGGGATCGTACTGTGTTTTTGGCAGAGGAGTGAACTCTTCAATTTTCATCTTTCGTCATCGTTGAAATTCATTACTTATACGCGTATATAGTGTCAAACATGACTGCGAAACACTTGGTAAGTTTCTCGCAAGTTAATCTCTGACAAAAAATAATTAAAAACCGGAACAAGGATTGGGGTTAATTATCTTTTATTGCGTAAAATAATTTGCTTCATTGAATTATCCTCTCACGCAGGCATCGATCTTCATTTGTTTGCTGATAGCGAATTTCGCCAGTTTTGATTCGACGAATGCTGCCCCAACAGAGAGCCCAGCAAGTTTTTTTTCTTATCACCGAAATTAAAAGCAAGGTTTGAAGATGGTGAATCCAATTTTCATTCAATTTTGCAGGCCAGTGAGAACGACACTCAATCAGGAATTCCAGAAGGGATCCCTGCTCTTGATGGGTTGTTGCAGCAGATTGGTGGAACATTGGCGCAAGTCATGAAAAGTATCATGCCAGAAACAGTTGCAGAAAACCAAGGCACAGCTTGAGTATTTAGTTCATTAAGAACAATACGAAAGTCCTGGAAGCAGCACGCACGTCTAATTGAAGCTAAACATTAATAATTTTCTGGAACAACCTCAATACTCCTCGCCATTTATTATGCTGTCGACAACGGTTTTTTTTTTCGGTGACATCAAAGTGTAAAACGTCGTTTCTGCGACAGATATTTGACTTCTGAGCAATATGCGGAGGAAATTGTCTTTGATTGTATAGTTGTTCCTCATTTTAAATTTGTCAATGTTGTTCTTTGTGCATTGATAATTTCACGTGGTCAACTCCCACGGCGTCATCCCGGAAAAGAAACTTTATTTTCGTGTGTGAATAAATTCATGTATCTACCTATCATTGGCGATATTCATTGCAAGATTTCCAAAAGAAATTCTACGAAAAAGGGCATTTGATTCCACACTGGAAATTACCCTCCGTTTTGTACTTGCACAGAGAATAAAGCAAATAAATGCTGTAGTAACGCCTCTGGATTACAACATCATCTTAGTATCTTACACAATCAGCTTGATTTAAAACATTTTCGCATAACATGTTACTCAATAACTGAAACATACCCGTATATCGCATCCATAGTCCACGGATGCGATTCATTACTGCACCCAGGTTTTGATCATAACGACTGGTGTAAAAGGACCACCAGATCATGGAGAACAGAGAGTTGGAAATTCAAAAATAGAGGAATCTTATTCCCATGTAATAATAAAGCTTGGAAAATCTCAACCAAGAATTATTTGGAAATTTTCATACAACAGGCATCATTCGAAGTTAATCCATGGAAAAAAGAATTACATGGAGGTTTTATTCAAGGGAGAAAATTAGTCCTTGTATTTGCTGTAATCTGCATATTATCCAGTACTGTATGGGATCTGGTTTTCATATGAACATATAAGCTACCCTTCATCTCACTTTCTATTCCATCATCTTCATTCAAATTTAAATTATTATTACACTAGAATTCAAGACATAAACCCATACATATTCTGAAGCTATTGCAAAGGGGATTGACATACTATGTGCTGGCTGCTTTCATCCTTCCCAAAAGATTTGTGTTTTCCTTTTTATTTGATAAATGTACTTACAGTACAGTACTAAATTTCGGATTTCTGCAGGAAACGTTTTCTAAGCAGTCTGCGTGCTTTCCACATGCTATTGGTATAAGCCGATGACAAATGATTGATTTTTCCGTACAGTTCCACTAAATTCACCAGTCATCTAATTTTCAATACAAAACATATGGAAATAAGTTCATACTTTTGATGAATAGGTGTCGCTTGTATGAACAGTTCAGCCTTCGATACTGATTCTGAATTTTTTTTCAATTAGTAGATATAGTTCCCTCTATCTGATGAAAATTCTGCAGTCGCGTGAAAAACATTTTACTGTACACTGTACACTATCTGTAATTTATCACTCATTTACAAATTTACCTTAATTTCTATAAGAGAATTCGCACTAAAATCTACCACACGCAGTCGATGCGCACCAAAGATTTTGTTGGTTTGAAATACCGTATATTATTCCTTCAATAGTACACCGTTCACTATTTATAAATGCAAATAATCGTGAAAACTTTAAGAAATATTAAAGGATAAGGAGGAAACAAAATGTTGAGTTCATCATTTTCTCATTCATAGATTACACTACCCTTATATGACTCAGGCAGTGTTTTTTTTAATTTATAGGATTTTTAACATTTATTCCCGCTTACCATGCACACCCCATTTTTCTGCCTCATTTTTGCAAAGAGAAAGGTGTGTGTGATGGTACATACGTATTGTCAAAATATTGAATTACAGTATTTACCCTTGTATAGGTTGAATTAGGGTCCACATCAGCAAGTAATGTACCCTGTGCAGAAAAGAATTCTGAACACCCATCCACCACTTGGACTTCGCTAATATTTTCATTAATTTTGAAGAATTCGGGTTGAACAAAAATTTCACATACTTAACCATGTTTTCATCAACATCAGCGACATCTGAAAAAATGCATGCTGCTGAATCCACATAAATTCATCCCGGATATTTTAAAGCTTTCTTTGAAAAAGTTGCATATTTCGATTCTTTAGTTTTATCGGTATGCTGGTTACAGTGTGCATCGGAAAATAAGGAGATGGGGAGTAAATTTTAATCTGCTTTTTGAAATCGTTCCAGAAAATGTATACCTTATACTGTGCTTGTCAATAATTCAAAGCGCACTAAAGTTCTAGCAGTAAAATTCCAGCCCAACTCAACTGAGTTACTCTTTTGAAAGGAACCAACTCCATTTCCTGATTTCCGACTCCCAGGAAGTTTCGGGGAAAAGTTGGGGTTCATTCAGCTCCGAGAGTCGGATTAAGCCTATATTCATCAACATGGTTTCCAACTCCAAGACAATGGTGAGCAACTCAATTCTCGTTTTGAACTGGATCAAAAAATTGTCCGATTGCAGTGCCATGGAATGATAGAATAACTTTCTTCGAAACTCGTTTTTAAACTCAGGATGAATTCTACAGCATATCCTGATGAATATTTGATAAATATGCAAAATATTTGCCGAATATGTTTTCAGCGGTTGATTTATGTGATTTTGAGGTAAACTGTAATTAGACGTCTAAGGTACACATTTTCCCAGGAAATATAATAACGCACATACGCACTGTAGTTGTATCCTTTTCATGTTCTACACTGTAGATTGTTCTCCTCCCTGCCTGCTCCGTCGCAGTAGCATTTGCCAACTCTGGTTCTCAAGAAGGCGGACATCATCACAGAAGCTCGCACGGTCGTCGTTACCACAGATACAAATCAGACAGCTACGAGGTATTTTACCACGTTTTTATGAACTCACTTTTCTTGTCTGTCTGTTTGTCCAGATCAAATTTTGAAACTCAAATTTCACTCACTTCCAGACTAGCTAGCAAGCTGAAACTTTCAGGATAGCTTAGAAACTAATGACAACGCAATCTTTTGTGAGAAAATTAATTTTAAGAATATTTTTTAAAAAGAATAAAATAATTATAGTAGATTTCTATAATAAAACTTTGAGCAGGTTTTCCTTGGCCCCAAGAAAAAAACCCATGGTGAACTGAATTGGTTGCAGAGGTCC